AGACAGCCGCACGCCACTGCGCTGGCGCGCGCTGTCTGGCACACGGGTCACTGGCCGAGGCGCTGCTGCCGCTGTGTGCGGCAGCGCGGCCACGGTCGACTCCGTGCCGACCGTCCGGCAAAACTCTCCGACCAAAATGCTTTCTTCTAACATGTTATGACCTAATATGATCTTTGAACTGAATTGCACCAAGAATTAACTGAACTTGCTGAGTGGCCGTTGCTCGCCTCCGCATGCTCTCGCTACGTGCGAGGGTGCGGCCTACGCCTTCGGCCAACTCTCGACCAAAAGGCAATTGACTCGACCATTTTAACTTCACTAAATTTAACATGAACAAACTGATCGAACATGACCGGAAGGTTCAGCAAACACATATCGCACATGCAATGGCCGCGGCGAGCGCCCGTGCGCCGCCGACGGCTACACGCCGTCTCTTGGCCGAACTAACAATTTATCCGACAGCTACCGAATCACATAACATGATCTTTATACTGGAACAGTTTAAGACTTAACCATACTGAAGAACATGATTAGTACTGAAGTAACAAGCCTCGGCCCGCGGCTACCCGAGGCCACGCGCGATGGGCGCGGCGTCGGCTGGGGCCATTTCATCGGCAAAACTTCACTTTGTTTCGACAAACTGATCAATATGAGCATGAAATAATCCAAGCTGAATATATAAACATCAACAGGTCGAGAGTTGTCGAGAAAAATGAAACTTGTTCGGTCATTATCTTAATTGAATATAGGCACGGCTTTAATATGATTTTCTTAAAAATTTCTGAAAATTCTCCGAACAATTAACTCTGAAATAGACTTACTAGCATGATTCTAACATGAGGAGGAAAATACCTTGACAATCGCTCGACGGAAAAATCGAAACAAAGCGTGCTTATGGCCTTGCGCTCGCCGTGCGGTATTGCTTGATTTGGCCGTGCGATTGCGACGAAAATTTGGGGAGAACTTGCTTAAATTTAGTGGCTGTAGTAAGGAGTAAATTATGCTGAAGATGGTCTGAATGTACTATAGGGAAAGTGAGGGAAATTTTCCCATCTCACCATGCTTTATACACGGCCGATTAGAGGGTGATGATGGTGTGCTATGGCGTGGCTTCTTCTATGCTTAGCACTTGTAATCATCTTAGCCTAATTTAAGATGACTAAGCATCTCTTTTGCTTAGCAATTGTCACAACTTAATTGGATGATTTCATTCCTTAGCTAAGAGGAAAACTTCGGCTTATGCTTAAAATTTGGGGAAAATTTCTTAGTCACGGCAATTAAGGTATTAAGTCACGGCAATTTGGCTATTGTGGTGATTAATTATAATTAATCACTCAATTTATGTTTAATTGTTAAATTAAACATAATACTTAATTACCAAAATTATTTCGGACGT